TATCGATTAAAACCTCAAGCATTCAAATAAACCTTTGAATGGCTTGAAATTCTCATATACCCTGGTCTGAGAAAGGGATCATATCAAATTAGATGTATACTTACCTGACTGCATGTCTGCAAGAGAACAGAAATGATATGAGTGTACTTCCGGTTTCTAGCAAAGATTGAGGCGCAAAAACAACGTTTCTTTGATTGCCAAATCATCCTGCGTATAAGTTCGTGCACTATTCTCATATCCATACAAGAAATTGGCTGATATATCAAGTTTATCGCATTTAATATGTCTACCTAAACCACATTTGTTAACATTAACTATTTCACCTATTTTTTTAGAGCATTTAATGCCGTTGGAAGCACATTATTTGTAAATGATTTTGGTATATCATCTACTGTTTTACAATTATTGTACATTTCATTGAATCCTTTGAAAACTTCGTAAGCATATGATAGATAGCCGGTATATTTAAAAAAGTTCTTCACATGTATTCCAGTCCAGTGTATCTCAATTATATTGAAGAGTATGCTTTGAATCTCTTAAATATGCATTCTAAAGGAAATGACCACCATGATTCACTTGTTTTTTTCTCATCGTCCTACGTGTATCTGATTCATGGAAAGATAAGAACACGAAGAGAGAAGTAAAAGTAATAACAGAATATCGAGATAGATGTAAAACAGTACTGATGTCATACAGCATTTCTATCTTTATCAGGAAGGTTTCATATGTAGGAACTTTTCTAACTGAGGTGACAATCGGTTATCGAAAGATAAAGATTCGATTCTTGTTCTGATTTTATGATCTTTATCGACCAGTCTTTCATGCTTTTTGAAATATAATCATGTCAATGCATTCTTACTTATATTTTCGTGACATGATTGCTTATTTGGAACTCGTTCATTTATATTATTTATTCATGATGCTTTCCGCACCCTAAGCTATACCTGGGTCGATGATTCTCCCATTTAGCCCAATCATATATCCTGGTATAAATTCGATCCAAGTTGTTTCGAATTAGATCAACCTGAAGTATGTGACGAAAAGCATGATTCAGATCGGCCTGAACATACTAAAACTATGGTGACTAGAACTCAAACTAAACAGTTATAAGTTGATCATAACCGTAAATTGCACGATTTCTCAAGCAATGTTCTTCAAGAGGTGTCAAATATTTGATGAATTGTGCACGATGATCATCATGAACCATCGTGATGAACAGACAAATGAGAAGACCTGATGGGAATTGAGAACAGATATTACTCACGGATTGTGTGAGAAGTGCACTCTTAGCACGGACATATGCTCGACTTTCAAAACGAAATCCAACTAAAGTTGGACCAAAAGATTGAAGGAAATGCCTTTCATTGTTGTTCGAACTGTTCGACGATGAACAGTACAATAATATCGTAAAAGAAGCACAAACCCATTTCAAAAGTAGAAAGTCTTATTGAAAAAACTATTCTCTGCCACTTTGTTCATAAATAGTTTTTGCGATAAACAGTGAAATAATTAGCAAAGATTTCCCTGCATCATATTTTTTGACATGTTGTAAAACGATACTTGTTTTATTGTACATGAAACGGTTGCATTTAACATGTGCTCCTTTTTAACCAAAAAATTATTCGAAAGCTCCTATCTACCTATGTAACCACCTCACGTAATGCTGACTCATCAGTTTTTAATTTAGTTTTTTTATCAGGTTTCTCAGTTAACAAAGTGTTGCAACCTACTTTCTGAAAACAAGGTGGCAAAGTGTAATAGCAGTTACAAATTTGATCGATCGTTATCTCTTTGAAGAGAAATTTATGGATATGGATTGTGATGAGAACGAATATTGACTTAGATGCACTTCAAGCATTTTCCTTTTGGGAAACTGCAATCTACAACTGCAGTTGTTTGTGCGCCTCAATCTTTGCTAGAAACTGGAAGTACACTCGTATCGTTTCTTTTCTCGTGCAGACATGCAGTCAGGTAAGTATACATCTAATTTGATATGATCCCTTTCTCAGACCAGGGTATATGAGAATTTCAAGCCATTCAAAGGTTTATTTGAATGCTTGAGGTTTTAATCGATATAGAGTGTGTGTGAAACTGCTTTATTATTAAACTAATTGAGCAGCGATCAGCCGGATTAATAGTCCTGATTAGTGTTTTTCTTAACATGGAAGAAGTTTTTAGAAGGTATCATCACAAGTTCTCAAACCCTTTGTACTGCTGAATGAAGTCAAGTAATATATCTAAATAACATTCAGTTTTGCGATCCACATTTTGATGTAATGACTTTTTAAACCTGACAGGATGCTCTCGGAAGTTGTTGGGAACCCTTTTTCAGGCAGTAGATCCAACCCGATCCCAGCAACTTTCGATGGATCCCAGTCGGAATTCGTCGGATTCCGACAAAATCCGCTCCGGATTCCTGAAATAAGATTATATAGATGAATGAGAGTAAAACAAAAGGGTGAATGAAAGCAGAGTCATTAAATCTTATTAAGATCTTAAACGATAAGATCGTAGATTATCTTATCAAAATCTTAAAGGATATGATCTTGTAAGATCTTAGTAAGATAATGTAAGAAGTGTCTAAGGTTTTTACTAGGGTTGGCTCAATATTTATATGAATGTTGTTCAGTCAGTTTTTTGCGATTGCCTTATATGTTCAAACCCGCTTCAACGAAGAAATCCATGCTCCTGCTATTCCTTGCCTAGTAGTTGATTCTTTTGCTGATCGAGTAGCTTTTGAGTTGCGCGAACAAATCTCCAAGCAGCATGCTGATCCACATCTTGCCGAAACTATTAGTACCCTTCAGAAACAACAATCTCAGCATAGAGTTGTATTTCGGAAGACTGATAAAAGATATTCCACTTGGACACTCCGACTGCATACCAAATTAAGTCAGATGCCTATATGGAGAAAACTAATGCTTATGAAGAAGTCCTCGATCAGCAAAAGAACTACTGGGCGAGGAATAGCAGGAGCATGGATTTCTTCGTTGAAGCGGGTTTGAATTTTCTGATGCGTGGTTTCAATCTCAGAGGAGAGACGACGAACCGCTGTTGTCGAATTAGGTGGAACATATGCCGGACGTTTGTTTACTACCTGACGCTGATGACTATCTAGACTGATGGCGTAATTTTTAATTTGGGGCGGGAAACTAATAGTAGTGTAGTGGGAATGGATTTTTGCTTTTGCATAAGGCTCTTTAACGTTTATGGTGGAGGAAAAAAATGAACTTTTATTCGTTCCTTTTTGAAAGGTTGGAAAGGATAATGTCGATGTGCACGAGAAAAAGGGAATAGCAGTTTTTGGAGACGTTATGAATTTCTCTTCCAATTGCTGCTATCTCGAGGTTTCTAGTTAAAATCATGCACTCGGTTAAAGTCAACTTTGTTTGTCGTAAGGTGTTAATCAGCACCATGATGTCTCACGTTTTAGTTCAACGGAGATTACGCTAAAAGCTACTATGGCGAATATTTGAAACTTGTCGAGTCATAATCTTTGTGTGGTTGACCTATTTATTTTTAATAAAATGTCGTCAATGATGATTTCACCATTGGAACAATATTTATATCGTGATAGATCTTAATTATAAAAAAATGCGTTTGCTATCTCTATGACCAAAGAAACGATACTATTCCGTCCTCATTGTCACTGCTACTTGATGAAGTTTCGCAGTGGTGCTCACGGTCCTTCCATTTGTCTGCGTACTTGTTTCCATTGTTAAAAATTTTTGTGTACATGTCAGCTCTGGGGCTATGACTGTCGACTCGTCCCTTGTGACGTGCGTTCGAATGTGTTCTTGTTGTCCATGGAAGATTGGAATTCGAGCTCTTTTGTGTGAAGTATGGATCTACAAATATAAGCATGCTCTCTATTAACAATCTGTCCATGCAGACAAGCCCTTAAGAAAACACACTTGAACTCGTTAAAATTTCAAATTGCTGTTTTAATGACAGCCTGTTATAGAAACAGCATTGTGTCCCACGACAAGTACTCCTGTTCCAGGAATCCGGAGCGGATTTTGTCGGAATCCGATGAATTCCGACCGGGATCCATCGAAAGTTGCTGGGATCCGGTTGGATCTATTGCCTGTAAAAGGTTTCCCAACAACTTCAGAGAGCATCTTGTCAGGTTTAACCGGTTCCGATTCGGATAGTCGCTCCTCGGATGAATTCTTTAACGTGTCAGAACGACTTGATGACGTACAAACTAGTTAGGCAATTCTTTGTAAGTTTAGGTGGTTATACTAGTTTTTGTGGTATATTTATCAGTCGTACTATGTTCAAAGTCTCAGGGATGTTTAAACGCGCAACCTTGCTCTAGAAAACCGCCTTCCTTTACTCATTTTTTTACATTTCGTTTTACTGCGTTCAATATTTGCTCATTATTTCTCGTTTTTCAACTAGATTAGACGTGTCTTGACGGATTTCGTTGTTAAAATTCGGTAATATGTCAAATCTTTAGCGATAAAAAGTCAACTACTTTGGGAAAATATATAAAAGAGAACGCAATTAGATTGAAAAGAAAACGTTTTGAATTTTTTGGAGAACGCAGATAAACTGGGATAGAAAAGCGGACGCATTTTGAATTAAAAATATTTAATTTTACTATTTTCTCAATTACTAAATATATCACTATACGGTTTCTGTGGTGTAGTGATACACTGTATGTTATGATATGCATATAGTGCTGGTTCGATTCTAGTCAGAGGCCACTTATTTTTTTTTTCTCTTTTTGGAAAAATTGATGTATTGCACTTACGGCCGTTTGCACTAAGACACTGATAACCAAATAAGTAAGAATAATCTATAACATATAAGGCAATCGCAAAAGACTGACTGAACAACATTCATATAAATATCGAGCCGACCCTAGTAAAGCCTTAGCCACTTCTTACATTATCTTACTAATATGTTATAAGATCATATCCTTTAAGATTTTGATAAGATAATCTACGATCTTATCGTTTAAGATCTTAATAAGATTTAATGACTCTGCTTTCATTCGCCCTTTTGTTTTGCTCTCATTCATCTATATAAGTGACCGAAAATATGAGTGATTATACGCGTATTTTTCTTCCTGACTCTGCTGGTACTTGCTCTCTCGAAAGTGTTCAACAACTTTTTAGAGAGGGTACATGCAGGTCATGGTCCATAGCTGGACACCTGAAAATATGAAATTTCTCTTCATTCTTCAACTTGGATAATGCGGATTAAAACTTGAAAACGTTTCAGTGAATCTCGGATGAACATTATTTAAAAAACGTTATCGTTCTTGCTATTAAGATCCTAATATGTTCTTATCCAATCTTGAAAAGGTTTTAGACAATCTTAGTAAGATCTTAGAATAATCCTAGTAAGATTACGCTTACATTTGTCTAAGATCTTAGAAAAATCTAATCAAATCTTAGAATTTTCGGATCTCACGATCTTAGTAAGATTTGAGTAAATTTTTCACTAGGAAACTGTATATTTCACTAACTTTTTCACTTTATATCGAAAAATGACAAGAAGAGTTTGATCTTTTGCTGAAATTTTTCTAATAATGATTTATTTAATGAATAATTAAACATAATTCAGTTTCCCAATTTCGTTCACAACAAACATCATCTGGTTTAAAATTGACATATTGTTGTTCATTATATGAGAAATATCCTGGTTGTGATTTTCAAATACAAGCAACAATTGATGATTTAAAACAAATTTCAGTTAATACATTCAAGCAACATAATCATGATGATCGTGCTGCTTCCAGTCGTGTAACATCACCTGTACGTGAGATTGTTAAAGAATCAGTTGCTCGAAAACTTACAAAATCTCAGATACGTTTGACTGTACAAAATGAACATTCTGAAGCAGTGCCATCCTCACAGTTGACAAGTTTATTGACTGTGTCAGTTGACTGTATCATCGGTCATTATCTCGTCCTGCCATTTATTCGGCCGATGATCTTCGTATATGATACCAAGAACGTTCAACAAATCCAGATTCAAATGCATTACATGATGTTTTATTCCAAGATGTTATGTTAATTCATATGAACAAGTATTTATATGCACGTTTAGCATTAAAGAAATAAACATTTTTGTGGAAACAGTTGTTACTGTTTCTTTGTAAATATTTTTCTTTGAATATATGATGTCACAGTATAGTGATATGTATAGTAATTAAGAAAATAGTAAAAGATAAATCTTTTTAATTCAAAATGCGTTCTGTGAAAAATTCAAAACGTTCTCTTTTCAACCTAATTGCGTTCTCTTTTAAATTCTTGTCAAATTACTTTCACACTAACTAGTATGAATTATTAATATGCTGCAAAACAACTTAGCTGATTTAGATTTGAAACTGAATCAGTGTTCAAAACCGAAAAGAAAGAAAGTCTCGCAAAGAACTTCTCATGTGTTTTTCTCAAGGGGGAAAGGGCTGAATTTGCGATTTTGCGATTTTCACTGGTTTGCATCAATTTTTTCCGATTTCTTTTGGTTTGTTTGGAAAGTCAAATAAAGAGACAGCGAAAAATAGTGCAGAACCTGCTTTATTTGTGCGAAGCAGGAATCAAGCATAGTAAAAGTAAAGAAAAAAATAGAAAAACGAAATGTTTAAATTATTTTTTGTTCAAGTTTTTCTGTTGATTTTTTAAGCTCAAAAATCAGCTGTTTCCCCCTTGGTTTTTCTCCATTAATCTAATATGGGATTTTAGTCTCCTCTCTTGATTTGTCTAATCGGATTCTGTACTACGACTTTAAAATTTACCTCCGATTCTAACTAAGATGTTGACCATAATAAGTGTTCTTTTTATATTTATCTTATTTATTTACAGTGGACTTCAATTGACTTGCACCCCTAGCCATTTTTGACGTTGCTCTACTATAGTTTGGTCCCTATGAGAGAGCGATATACAGAAAGAAAGAGCAGCTTCGACCGCATCGAATGGTATATAACACCGGTATATCCGATCAACATTGGACGCTGGACAGAGAATGGAGAAA